TATTTGATAAATTTCCTATATACTTTGATCTGTATCACTTTTGTCAGTTAAAATTAATAATATTATTTTGTATTTTTAGTTCGTAAATTATAATAATATTTTTAGTTCGTAGAATCTAAAATTTAATCGTAATTGAAATTTACGATTAAAGACATGATAGAATACTAATTTTGATAAAACATGACTAAAATAATTGATTAAAATCGACATTTAAGTAAGAAAAAATATAGATATAAAGGAAATATGTTGCGTACTTTAGATGGCTTAAGACTTAAAACACCTATTAGGTGCTTTCCATTTGATAACACAAGTCGACATAAGTGTCGTACTCTTTGTCACTCTCTGAATATCAACAAGGATAGAACGACTGTCATCAAGTGGAAAGCATTGTAGGTCTGAATTATGGCTATTATAGAATAGACACAACATGTTGATTTCCTTACTACTTATGTAAGCGTACGTTTCTTGCTGCCTTAAGTTTCTTGTGTGCCATAGCCTTCATACTTTTTGACAGAGAAGACCAGAAGTCTCCCCTGAGAATCTCGAGGTTAAATGTGAATAATCTGTTCTAAAATGAATTAATATTGTATTCTGATTAAAAAGCAAGTTAAATGCCAAAGTAATATTACATATTACATATTAAAATATGGTAAAAATAATAAATTGGAGTAAACATTATCGTCCAGTAAGCTCTATAATAGAGATTCACTGTTACCGCCTGTCACGAAACATTTAAGGTTGTACACTAACCAATACTAACCTTACTTCGTATTAAACATATGAAAGTCATTTTCACACAAACATTTTTTTGTTAATACTATACATGCCATTTTTTTTAGAAACAATCTTATAAACAACTAGGGCACCAATGTTACTTTGATTTTAAGCAAGACTTGAAACTCTCTCTCCACCTCGTTTTAAAATAAAAGGCAAAAACAGAGAGTTTTAAATCTTACTTAAAGTTAAAGTAACGTTGATGCAATTGGGCTTAGGGCACTAAGATTTAAAATGATGACAAAGTTTGAACGTTTTACTTTTTGTAAATAAAATTTAATCGAATAAAATAAAAAAATGTGACAAAAATATGACTAATGTAGAATACATATAAAGTGAAAAAGTATTAGGAAAAAACTCTAAATTTGTGTCATAAACGCACACATGGATTGTAAGTAAATTTTATAGTTGTGACACAGAGGACACTGAGATTTAATTCATGCATAAAAGTTAATTTTTAGACATAAATAAATAAAATTGTCGATTATTTATTAGTTGTCTATACAAATATAGTTATAATTCTTTTCTGTAATAAAAATCAAATACAATTTATTTAAATACGACAAAAATCGATTTTTTTTCATCCTATGAAAAAATCAAAGAGATTCTGAAAATAGATGTAAAAAAACCTGTGTCTTAGCTTTTACTAGATCAAGTTTTTAACGTTTTTTACAACCATTTATCGTATTTGCTTCATATTGGCTTACATTATTTTAAATTATATAATAATTTTTTAAGATAAATAATTGACGTTTTTGTATGTGAATGTGAGTCCGAATACAAAAAAAAAAACTGAAAATTTTTTTCATATATTTTCAAATTTTTGTATAATATTATTATTAAAAACACATCTATTTTCTCTGAATTAAATCATTATATAACGAATCCAACAATTCCGTGTGTCATTTTGTAGATTAAATCCATTTTTTGTTTTTTTATATGAATCGCTTCCGAAATTAGTCTTTTATTAAAACCTTGTTCTTTGTCTAAAATTTTAATGTTATTCCAATCAAAATCGTGATTGTACTCAATTCTATGCTCTATGATTACACAGTGTTGTATGGTGTTCCTATTTATGTGATGTTCTTAATACGTGTCTTCAATAACTGTTTCGTCTGGCTCATAGGAAGTATCACAATTTTGACAATTAATTTCGTATACCACATTAGAACGTAATAGTGACGGTAATTTGTTCTTTTATGCTCTTATAAATATATTAAGTTTATTAATTCCTATGCAAGCCAAACGAACCGCTCTGTTATTTTTGAAAAATCTCTTAAATGTCTCTACTATTGAAGGCACGTAATAATAAAGTATGTAATTAAATTGTCGGCAATTTTTTTTTAGTATGTTCTTGTTAATTTATTCGAATTTTGTGTGTAGCCTTTTTCTAATGCTTTCAAAAATCTTAGGATAACCGTTAATAAGTAAGATATTAATAATGAAGCTAAAGTTTTTCTCATGAAAGGTTGGAAATGATAATAATAAAATCCTGTCTATCAATAATTGTCCCTATTTTGTGGCATCTCGGATGACACGAAAAATAATTTAGATATTGTGCCAAGAATGAAGGTTTGTGATACCAATTGTATAAAAAATAATCGTCCTTTTTTATGAAGGTTACTATCTAGAAAATTCAAACAATTGCCACTTCTTTCTATAGTAAAATTTAATCGAGGATGGTAATTATTAAACATACTTAATAAATTAATAATATTTTCCTCCAATGTTGACATCGATGTATCTTACATAGAAACCCAATGAAAATGACAAACTCTCAAGAGCAATTCTCTCTAGATCCTGTGTAACAACATCCGCTACTATCGGAGAAAGTGAAGATTCCATAGAAACGATTGTTTATAGAATTTTTTTGTTGAAAGTAAAAAATGTAGAATAGAGCACAAAATTGCTTTCATGAATTCCGTTTTTAGACAAGGAGATATTGCTTTTTACAGTCATCCAATATTGTTCAATACTCTTACTAAATCTACCAGTACATTGGTGAAAAGTGATACTACGTCAAGTGAAATAAGTATCTGGTCATGTAGTATTTGGTGTGAATTAAATCTTTAATTAACTGAAAGCTATTTTTAACATAACCAAACAATTTTTCAAGACAAGAATCTAAAAAGCCATGTAAAAAGAAAGCAAGATTGTGCAACGAACTGCCTATGGAAGAAATTGTGATACGTAACGGACTGCCCGATTTGTAAATTTTCGACAACGCATATGTCCTCGATAATGTTGGATTCGTAAAATTGAAAAAATTATATGTGGAATCAGATATAAAACCTTGCTGTTTCCATGTTTTTAACATTTTTTCTGTAATTCATTGATAATAATTTATTGATCGGATTTTATGATTTAAAATTGTGTAAGTGTTAGTGTCTTGTAATCAAGGATGGGCAGCATTTGAAAGACATGTATTTAAAATACGTATTTAAATACGTTTTTGTATTTTGTATTTCGTATTTGAATACTTTTTTTTGCGTATTTTGTATTTAAATACAATTTTTTTGAGTATTTTGTATCTTGTATTTAAATACAATTTTTTGAGTATTTTGCCCACTCCTGCTTGTAATAATATCCATCTTATTAACATAGTCTGCTTTATCAATAGTGACGACAGTGTTCTCCTTTTTTTTATATTAAAGATATTTTGTACTCATCAATGAATCTTCTTTAGCTAATGTATAATGTTTCATTTTAAATATATATTATATCTCCCAAATATATATCTCCCAAAATTAAATTTCTTTTTAATTAAAAAAATATTTCAAATAAAAGTTGTAGGGCTTAAAGAGAGATAAATAATGATACAATTAATTTTCGAAAAATCAGTTTTTATAGTCATATGACATGATTATTTTTTAAAATTATGATTTTTTTATATCATAGAATTCTTCTAATTATTCAGCATGTGAGAATATTAAGGTGGAAATATTAAATCACTATAGTTCACAAGATATTTTATATGTATTTCATGTCAAAATGTGCTATAATAAAATATAATATAATGTAATTGTGGAATATTTACTTTTTAATATCTGTACCTTAATACTTTCATTCATAGAATAATGAAATGAATTGATGTAAAAAAAATACACATATGTGCGAGATATTTTATATTTCATGTGCTAAAAAATTCAAAATATGATAAAAATATAAAATATGTTGTAAATTATTGTTTTCTTTATCTCTTTATTTTAATATTTTTATATGCAGAATAATAAAAACAATCATATTATGTAAAAAAATTATATATTCCATTTAAAAAATATTATATATATAAAAAATTATGTATTCCATTAAAAAAATATATTCCATTTAAAAAAGGCCATAACCTTCATATATGATCAAAATTAATTTGTTTTCAAAAATTAATTTTATAATTACGTCCTTCAAATCAAAATACAATTTTATCTGAAATATTTTTCTGTAAAATTTTTGTATCTAAAATATTTATCTTTAAAATTGAAAAGAAATAGAATAGGATATTGTTTAAAATGGGATTTGATATAAATAATTTTAAAAAGTATATAAATGTTAATCATATAAAATTCAAGCTTATATAAAACGTAAGGAATTAAGTTACAAAAAATTACATAAGTCAACAAAAGACCATATCAAAAGCTGGACATATCTTATTTGCTACAACGACATAATTAAAACATTATCATTTCTAAGTTGCTTGCAATAAAAGAATGGAAATATAAAGACAAAAAGGAAAAATATATATTAAAAATACACACTTTATTCCTCTACAATTAGTTATTACATCAAAATTACATTTCAAAATTAATATTACAAAATTTTAATTTAATTGAATTTTAATTCAAAATGTTCAAACTAATTTTTTTAGAAAAACTTTTTTAAATTATATATAGCAAACATGAGCAGTATATAAATACACGAATAATAAATAATAAACAACAAATTTGAAATCATAATAATTAATATTTTTATACATTGAATATTTTTATACTTTAAATTATTATTATTCGTATTTTTTACATGAAAAATAATTTAAAATCATAATAATTAATGTTTTATACGTTGCGTGACTTAAAAATCAGATATCTTTTAAAGTATCTTTTAAAGTATCTTTCTCCTCTCTTTCCCCTTTTGAAATAATTTAAAAAATTTTTCAATTCGTAAATTTGTTTTTCAATACGAGATAACATCGGATACGTTCACAAATAATAACTGCGTATCAGTGTCTTGAAACTTGACAGTCATTATCGCAGAAACTACGGGTACAACGATCACAGCGATATTATGTAGTCGCGACTTACAAATAAACGTGGAGTGAGTTGAACATTTACGTATCCGACGAACGATAACAATATATTAATTCCGTATATTCACTAAGGATCGAACAAGCGTGTCAGAATGAAGAACGGAAATTTAATTGTAGCAGAGGCCCTAAAGAAGCAGGTACGAGCCAGTATTTTTGCTGACGATGATTCTCGCTATTTAATAATTCAAATTTATTCGATTCTCTGGGATTTTGCGCATTTTTAAGGAAATTCCTGTCCCCTAAGATCTCTCGTCAGCTTTCTAAGATTTCGAATCTTGATTTAAATATTATTTCATCGCGGAACAAATGTACATCGATTTTAGGTTATGATCATTGGTACGTAATCACGTGACCAAATTTTGCATTCTTTTGTTTTGTTTAACACAAGATTTGTTCGCGTTGCTTAAAATCCGCACAAAAAAATTTTGCATTTAAAACGAGATAAATGTATATATAGTCATTAAAAAGAGAAAAAGTGAAGATTCTGAGTGCAAAAAGTACAAGCAATGTGAACAGACCTACGATTTCGCTCTTTAAAGATGCGATCAAAATCTTATTATGCGCATCTTCCATTTAATGCTCACTTCCAATCAATATAAATTAACTTTAATATTCTTTATTTTTTTCTAGTTCTAAAGATTAGAATAAGTTGAAGGTTAAAGTTACTCTACATCAATAAATTATGAACATAAATGATGCTGTCTCATGATAATCATAGCTTTCCAGCAAGGACACAATCAGAAACAGTGTAATTATTACAGTATAATCTTTATTGTTTGCCTACGTTAAACAAGGATGAAATGATTCACTGTTACACAGTGTCTGACTGTGTCCTTACTGGAAAGTATCCAGAATTTCGGAAAACAGAATCTCAGAAAATAATACGATCAATCAGATTAGCGCACTACACGAACGCACTAAATTTAAATTTTGATCGTATTACTTTTTCCGAGATTCTATTTTTCGAAATTCTGACTATTACGAGGAAGTATTCTTAAGGATCTATAATAGATTTTAAGTCTTAAGCCATAAGGAATGGACGAATCACAATCAATTATTTTCCCCGCATTCGACTGTAATTGGTCCATTTCTTAAAGCTTAAAACACCCATTGTAGATCCGGACTTACAGTCGAATGCGAGGGGAATAATTGTGATTCGTCCATTTCTTATAGCTTAAGGCTTAAAAACCTATTGTAGATTCGAGTTGAAAGACACCCTATAAATGCTTTGAAGCATTGAACTGACCAATCAGAAGAAAGAATTTTACAAATTGATAAATCAAAGAACATTTTGAAATATTATTATAATATTACGTTGATCAACATCGATCGTATTCTAAGCATAAATCCTCATACAGATATCGAGCGTCGATTGATGAAAAACTGGTTTAGAAGATAAAATTTATCTGCATCATCCATTCATTTCACCAATCACGCTCGATCGAGACGCCGCGCGCCGGTGTCTGCGTGAGAATCCGAGCTAAGATTATCGTATTAGTTTTATCTAACGAGTCATTGACTTGGAATGTTTATTTAATTTTTGATGCAGTCATAATAAGGCTGATCTCACCAATTCCGATTAGCTTAATCGACCTATTAAAATTGCCAGTTGCAAAACTGAAAACATTTTAATTTTTTGCAAATTATGATTTATTTATATAAAATAATAAATTTCGAATTAATAATTAAATAATACTTCTAATTAAAATAATTTTATATATTTTGTATCAGATATGTAGACACGCATCAATAACA